AAATAGAAATTGGGAAAATAAGGCTCCAGTGAAGATTCCACAGAAAAAAACAAAGCTAACATGCACATAATAAAGGAAACACATATTGTTGAAAAAGACTTAAAATTCAGGTGAAAGTAAAATTTGTTCTGTATATGCTTTATAACTTTCAATAAATGCATAAGAACATGAACTTTATTAAACAATAAAAAATAATGATACAACAGTGGATGAATTTAAAAAAAGGAACTGAATAAAAGACTTGAAATAAGTGGGAGCTTTGTGAGATCAGAAAGGAATGTAACATCATAAATAATATAATAGCCAAATAAAGATGACATTAGAAACAAAAGAACAGAATCCATACTATGGACATTAAAATCAGTACTATGGAGGACAAGCCTGAGATTCTTTCTTACATTGAAGGGGAAAAAAACAAGATAGTAGATTCTGAAGCAAAAGTGAACATGCAACAAGATAAAACAAAAAAGAAAGCTGGAGAACATTATGTGTACATATGCATGCATTATTCCTAAATATAATACTAGCGAAAGGAATCAACCATAATAAAAGGGTAATAGTCCATCACCAAGTAAAATTGATTCCTGTAATATAGTCAGAGTTGAACATTAAGAAGCACACTAATACAATCTACTGCATCAATAGAGAAATAGAGAAATATTATTTGACTATCTTGATAAATAATAGTAAACATAGTGAAGACTACGTATGAAACATAATGTACAGTTTATATACTTTAACTCATTTTAATTCTCACTAAAAGCTTATGCTAGTTATTATTATCATCATCACTTACATGATGAGGAAATTAAAGTAGAGAGATTAAGAGACTAAGCCAAACTCAGCCAGCTAGTGGCAGCTATGATGTAAGGAATGCGGGGGGGTTTTGTTGTTGTTTAAAAAGTGGGTATTCATATTTATGCATTTGCACATAATATGAACATGTGTGCTTATGTATAGAGAATTAGACAAAATTGCTCTAAAAATCTGAAGGATAAACTACTCTATACCATATAATTGTACATATATAGATATATATTAAAAAAAACCTGAAGCAACATACACCAAAATATTAAGGAGGCTGCCTCTGAGAGATCAATTTAACAGTGATTTCTATATTGTCTTTTTTCTTGGCAGTGTTTGTGTACAATGTTCACATAAACCAATGTATATATTATATAGAAGATAGATATAGATTTTAATAGTGACATGATTATCTATAAAAGTTATCGAAAGGAGACTGTCTTGAAGCCGTACAGTAACTGGCTCCAGATAAATCCTACTGCCATAAACAACTATGAAAATGGGTAAAATAAAGTAATGGTTTTCAGAAAACGAAAGAGGCAAGGCAAGACTGAGATCTGTGGGGAGAAAAAAGGATACTAATGAGGTAATCTCTACGGGAGTCATTCTCTGCCTGAGAACGATTTCCTGGCCCTAACATAGAGCTCTGGAATTCAAGCAGAACATGGAGGTGCCACTGGGTTCAGGAGGCAGAGAGGGGAGTACTGGGCAGCTGAACTAGTTAGAATCTGTGAATCGGGGTAAAAGAAAGGAGGTGTGCTGAGTTGATTTTAGAAGTTTCTATGGGATTCCACATGAGTCTTTGCCTGAAGACTAGGCTGTCTCATAAGATTCAAAAAACCCAAGGTTTACAATATGGCAATAGAGCAGCTTTTTTGGACTTGACAACAGAACAGAGATGGGAAGGTCAAAGAGTCCTGGGAGAAGAGCCATAGGGAATATTGAAGTTTAAGCCATTTTTGAGTGAAGAGATACCCTAACAGCCTCTGACATGAAAAAAAATAGCCAGGCTCTCCCTTAGTAGTTAGGATGATGCCCTGAAGAACTGACCTCTCTAGACCTTTCCTTAAAAAGCCTAAATCTAAGCCCCACCAAGATCCATGGTGGAGACAGATTTGGAAGTTGACTCCCACAAAGTTAAAGAGTTTAGGATGACAGTTTGGGCTTTTCACAGATCTGCATTGCTACCACAAAACCAAGCCTATCTGTACAAGTTTAACATGACAAGTCAGCATAAATAGTCTGCTGAAACCAAACTGCTTTCCAAGAATGATTATAAATCTGAGTCTCCATCATGTCATGTCCACAGTGCCCATTATTCAATGAAAATCACTAGATATACAAAGAAACAGAAAATGTGATCCACAGTCATTGAAAAAGTAAAAATCAACCCATAGAAATAAACGGAAGAGGACCAAACAGTAGACTTAGCAGATAAAAACTTTTAAAAAGGCATTATAAATATGTTCAATGACATTAGAGTAAATATATTAAAAGAATCATAGGACATAAAGTCTTAATGATTGGACAGACAGAGAAGTCTAGCAGAGAAAGAGAAATTATACAAGAGCTAAATAAGAATTGTACCAGTAAGTAGTAGACAAGACATGAAGAATTCACTGCAGGAGCTTAAAAAACATACTGCAGAAGGAAAAAAAAAAAAAAGTTTATTAGCTGTTATATATATTAGTTATATAGCTGAAAACAGACAAAATTTTCCAACCTGAGAAATGAAGGAGAAAGATTGAAGAAAATGAACACAGCTTCAGTGACTGGTAGAATTTCAAATTGCATAACATATATATAATTGGAGTCTGAAAAGTAGAGGAAACAGCTGAGGCAGAAATAAAGGGAAAGCTAAAAGAAGTTCAGCAAACTCTACATCAAGATTACTTAGGCACATTATAGTCAAACTACTGCAAACCAAAGATAAGGGAAAATTCTCAAAAGCAGCCTGAGGGAGAAAGAAAAACATATACAAGGGAATAAAGATAAAATGATGACTGACTTCACATTAGAAACCATGCTGTAGAGAAGAAAATAGAACAACTTTAAAGTGCTTGGGGGGAAAACTGGCAGAATTTTAGATCTCACAAAAACATAAGAGTGAAATGAAGTTATTTTCATATAAACAAATCTCAGAAACTGTCTCCAACAGATCACCACTACAAAAAGTACTAAAGGATGTACTTCAAGCCAAAGGGAAATGGTGCTAGATTATAACTCAGACCTACAGGTAGAAATGAAGACCATCAGAAATGGTACATAGGTGGAAAATTTAAAAACTGTATGTTCTTCTTATAATTTGTGTAAAATACATCTGACTATTCACTGTAAGGTGAGGTTTACATTTTAGGCAAAGGTAAAAAGATACAATTACTATTAAAAATAGATAGAGGACAGGTAAATTAATTATACTGTTGTAAGATTATTACATGTGTGAGGTAAGATATAGAATGTAAAGTATCAGCTTTGAAATGAAAAGCGGGAAATCATCCTAAAAGATGTATGCTGTATGAATTGTGAGCATGAAGAAAGAAATATTGACTATAATTAGACTGTGAAAAGTTATGAGTGCCTCTTGTTAGCCCTGGAACCACCACTAAAACACAATTAAAAAGAGAGATTTAAAAATCAGTACAAGAAATAAATTGAAACAAAAAAAAAAAAGAAAATCAAATGGAAAAGAAAGAGGGGAAGGAGCCACAAAGGAATAAAAAACAAAGGGACAATTAGAGAACAAATAAGAAGGTATACTTAATTCCAAACATATCAAAAACTACAGTAACTCTAAATGAACTAAGTACTAAAATTAAAAAGATGAACACAATAACGTTGATGAATATAACAGAAATTATGCTGAGGAAAAGTAGCGAGACACACAAAAAATATTTACTGCATAATTTCATTAATAGGAAATTCTAGAAAAGGCAAAAATCAGCAATTAGTCAAGAAAGTGTTATCAGTAGTTGCTTGGCACAGGAACAAGGGCTCTGAAGATTAACTGCAAAGGAAAGTGAGGGAGCTTTCTGGGAAGATGGAAATGTTCTGTATCTTGATTGTGTAGTGCTTACACTGCAGTACATATCAATTAAAAGTTTATTGACCTGTACATTTAAAATGAGAGAATTTTATTGCATGTAAGTTATATCTCAATAAAATTGTTTTTTTAAGTGAATCAAAACACTGATTGCTTAGTGATCAATATAGCCAACTTTGAAACTCTATGCATTCAGATTTTGCCTCTGATATTTACTTACTGTATGAACTGGGCAAATTAATTAACCACTTGAAGTTTTCTCTACAATAGTACTTCATAGGATTGCTGAGAAGATTAATTCCTTATCTGGAGTACGTGTTCAATATATATTATGTTATATTAATATCATCAGCATCACTACTATTTTTACTATGTTCAGAACATGAAACTTTTGAGATATATCAAATCATGAGACAAACTTATTCTCATTTTATCTTCAAATAATTCTTTTAGAAGAGAAATGAGACTTGGATAAAAAGTAAATTGAAAAAGAGATGCTAACTGTAATATAAGATAAGGCATTTAAAGTCAGACTTCGCACAAGCCACTCAATACACACACAGGTTGTAACAAGTTACCGCAAGCTGTGTAGCTTAAAACAACACAAATGCATTACCTTTCAGTTCCAGAAGACAAATCCAAAATGAGTATCATGGGGCTAAAAATCAAGATGTCAGCCAGCTAGTTCCTTCTGAAGGCTCTAGGGGAGAATACACTCCTAGCTTCTGGAGGCTGCCTATATTTGGCTTGTGGCTTCTTTCTCCATCTTCAAAACCAGCCACATAGTATCTTCTTTTTCTTTCACATGACCTTCTTCTCTCCTGTATCAAATCTACTGCCTCCATCTTATAATACATTTAAGACCCACCAAGATAATATAGAATAATCCGCCCCCATCTCAAGATCCTTCATTTGGTCACATCTGCAAAGCCACTTTTATCATATAAAATAACACTCACAGATTCTAGGGATCAGGGCACAGTCGTCTTTGGAGGCCTGCCAAATGTCATAAAAGCAAGATTAGAAATGAGAGGGGAAGAAAGACACTAGTGTTCTGAGAAATTTTATTTTTAACAGTTTACAAGTGTTAGGTGAAGGAGAAACAAATGGGAAACAAAAACAAATATACAAAATAAAATGTCATTGTTATTTTTAGGTGTTCTAAATGTTTATCTGCGTTTGAAAGGGCAGACAACAATAGAGAATCCACTGTGGTCTTCAAGTGGGAATAAAGGACAGCGGTGGAATGAGGCTCATGTTAATATATATCCAATCACTTCATTTCAGGTAAGAAAAGAACAATCATTTCTGTGAAGGGATTGCAGCACATGAGCATAAAGTTAAAGGCAGACCTTGAGCAAACATAGGAATATGAAGGTTCAGAAATTCTGTGATATATATGAGCATCACAAAAATGACAGTATTTTTTCCTTAGTTCCAAAAGCTGTTTTATAAAGAGAAAATGTCCCTTTTCTTTATTAATTAATACCTATCAAATAATATGTTTGAATAATAGTCTTTCAAAATCCAAATGATGTGCCAGGAGAAAATGTAATCGATTCCTATAAAATCACATGTGTATATTTTGTTTCCTGAAGATAAATAACATAGGTTCTTATAATAACAGAAACTGGATAGTCAATTCTCAATTAATCTGTTCAAATTTTACTTGATGGAATTTTACGTGCTTTAGCAAAATGTGTCTCTTTGAGGTAATGTCATTTTAGTAATTTATCACTTTGATGATCAAAAAGAATTTTGAAGAAGATATTTTTCTTTGTTTTGATATAGAAGAGTAAGGCTAAATTGAATTAAGAAAGTTAGCTGCAAATATATAATAGAAATTTTAATGACTATAAAAATGGCCACTATGGCTTGAGACAATATTTCACGAAACTACTTCAGTGGAGAAAATAATGTAGTTTTAGTGAAGTATGTGTATTTTATGTACTCAGGTTGGGTATTTTTTTTTTCTACTGGTGATTTCTTCAATGTACTTCAAGATATATTTTTGCTTCCTATGTGACTGCCTCACCGACACAAAATTATTAAATCAAATATATATACAATAGGTACTTAAAAGAATAGTTATATTACTGTTTTCTTCAGGATACTCCTTTATTGCCATAGACATCAATTTAATAATTGAGCACTTTTAAGACAAGCACTTATTATCACAGTAACAGTTCAATAAGTACTTTTGAGCTACTCTTGTGTGCCAGGAACATTGTTAGGTTGAAGATCTAAAAATGATTGTCTACTTCATCTTGGTAGAAATATACATGTAAACACTTACATCGCATCCTGTAAAAATTGCAGTAATAGAGGTATGCACAAGGTTCTGTGAGCACGCCCAATCAACTAGAAGAGTATGGAAGAAATTCAAGAAAAACTTATTGTATGAGGTGAAACCTGAACCAAGGAGAGGGATTGCAAAGCAGAGAAAGAGATAACATTAATATTGAAGCAGAGTTTAGAGTGAACAAAGACATTGACATCATACACCATAGGATTTGCCTGAGAAACAGAAAAACTTTTATCTGCAATTTGGTACATAAAGAGAAATCAGACTGGTGTGAAACTAAGGTTAAGGAACATATGGTGCTTGGGTGACGGGGGTGGGGGGCATTGGAAGATTTTCTCTGGGGATGATGTGGTACAGCGGTCATGTTGCTGGCTCAAAGAGGTAAACCTGGATTGCAAACCAGTTAGGGCTCATAAAGTTCACATAAAAGATGTTGAAGGGACAAACTAGGGAAGTGGTATAAAGAAAAAAAGGATGATTTCAAGATATACTTAGGTGTGAAAGCTAGCAGAACATTTTTTTTTTTTTTATATTGGGAATTTGGGAAGTATCCATAAATGACTAACAGTTTCTAACTAGGGAGTCTTGGGTAATGCTTGTGCTACACATTACCTTAAATAACAAAAAGAGGAAAAGAGACAAGCTTCAGGGATGAATATGGTTACTTCTATTTTGGACATGTTAATAAAATGCCTATGGAGTATCCTTTTTAAAATGTGCAGGTTGTTGTATATGTTGATCTGAAACTTTGGGGACATGCACATTCATGAGTCATCAGATTGTATGTGCTACCTAGAAATGTGGGAGTGGTTGATATTTCCAAGGGAAAGTGTACATATGTGAACAGTGATTAAATGATGGAATCATGCAGAACACTAACCAATAATATGAACTGTGGGAAAAGAGCTCAATCCTAAATAGTATTTTTTAATATGTTTTAGAGTTAAAAGGAAGGAGATCCAGGAAAGTTTGGTGGCCACAGAATTTAAAGACAGTGATACTCAAATAGGAAAGCAAGTTGAGTCCAGTGGGCTGGTCATTACAGAGAATGTCCACTCTTGAGAGATTTGCATAAGGTGGTAAGGAAATTAGGAAAATCAGCATCTGAACTAAAATTATTCACTACACCAGACCTGGGTGGCTCAGTACGTTAAGCATCTGCCTTCAGCTCGGGTCATGATCCCAGAGTCCTGGGATCGAGCCCCGGCTCGTGCTCTCCGCTCAGCCGTGAGTCTGCTTCTCCCTCTGCCCCTCTCCCACTGCTCATGCTCTTTCTCTCTCTCTCTTGCACTCTCTCAAATAAATAAATAAAATCTTAAAAAATTATTCACTACTCGGAATTAATAGAATGACCTACAAACAGATATTAAATTGTTATATTTATGCAAATAGTTTTTATTCTATAATTTTTCACATTAGAAAATATATGAATTTTGCTTTATTTTGTTTGTTCTGTCCTTGCAAGGGAATGTTTCTTCATTCAGGATGTCACAGCAGAGAGAATCCAGAAGGGAATGTGCCCCTAGATATAAGCAATGAGGGGGTTTCATAGAGGAAAGAAATGAGAGGCACAGAGGGTCAGCTCCAAGTTTGAGATTGCAATCTTATAGAAAGGAATTGCTTTTTTTTTGTGATTTGGCCCATCTTACTCCATTGTGTCTTGTTACCAAAATTGTTGATCTAAAGAAAGGATTTTGGGACGTGAATTAGTCTTTCACTACCAGGAAGGATGTGGTCAGTGTAAATTCAGAGTAGAACATATTTACAACTACAAATGACAACAAATTTTCTGTAGCCTCAGAGACTTACATATTAAATTCACAAAAAAAGAGATTTATAAGAATGTTTAAAGCAGATGTTCAATGGTGTTTAAATGAATAAAGCTTTTTTCACAACAGTCCAAACCTTGGAGAACTCTCTTCACTATAATCTTTCCCTCATTCCAACTGAGATATCAGACTGGGTTTGCATAGTTGGTGCTCAAAGCAGTTATTTCTAGTGCTTTTTGTTCCTTTTTGTAGATGCATATTTCCATCTGGTATCAATTTTATTTTGCCTGAGGGACTTCTTTTAACATTTATTATAGTGTGGGTCTGCTAAACATGAATTCTTTTCACCTTTTGTACTTCTGAAAAAGTCTATTTCACCTTCATTTTTTGAAAACTATTTCCTCCAGGTGTAGTATTCTAGTTTTTCCTTTAGGAACTTTAAAGATGTTCTGCTGTCCTTTTGTTTGCATTGTTTCTAAGGATACATCTGCTGAAACTCCCATTTATCCTTCTAAATGTAATGTGAACTGTTGCTTTTAAGATTTTTTCTTTATCACTGGTTTTGAGCAATTTAATTGTGACTTGCTTTTATGTCGTCTTCTTCATTTTTCATGTGCTTGTGGTTCATTGATCTCGGATCTGTGAGTTTATAGTTTCTATAAAATTTAAGTACTGTCTGGCTAATGTTTCTTCAAATATTTTCGTTTCTCCTCCTCTCCTTTAAAGACTTCAGTCCAACACCTTATGTATGTATATAAGACTCCTTATTTATGTGCATATATATAAGGTGTTACACAGCTGATTGATGCTTTTTTAGACTTTTTTATTTTTATTTGTGTTTCAATTTGCAATAGTTTCTATTCTGTCTTCACATTCACTAATCATTTCTTCCACAATGTCTAATCTGCCTTCAGTCATATTCAGTGTAATTTGTATCTCAACCATTGTACTTTTCATCTCTGTAAGTTCAAACTGAGTCTTTGAAAAAATATTTTCCACATCTCTAGTTAATATTTTGAATATATGAAACCCAGTTATAATAGGTGTTTTAATGTCACTGTCTGCTAATGCTAACATCTGTGTCAGCTCTTGGTTGGTTTTGACTGATTTTTTTTTCCTCCTCATTACAAGTTATTTTTCTGCTGCTATGTCTGGTAATCTGATTGGGTGTCAGACATTTGGAATTTTACTTTGATAGCTAAAATTCTTAGAGTTTTACAAAATACAAAATTTGTTGGATATTTTTATATTTCTATAAATATTCTTGAGCTTGTTTGGGATGTAGCTATTTGGAGAGAGTTTAACCATTTTTTGGTCTTGCTTTTAAGCTTTGTTAGGAGAGACTGAAGCAGTGTTTCATATAGGGCTAATTATTTCTCACTTCCAAGGCAAGAGTCTTCTGAGTAGTCTGTCCAACGCTCCGTGAATTATGAGGTTTTCCGAGGCTTGTGTGGTCTGGGTACTGTGACCTTCAGTGCATCTCTCTGGTTCTTTCCCAGTTCTTGTGCAGTAACTACTGTACATTCATGTCCTGATTAGTGCACTGCTCAATACACTAGGGAGACTCTCTGCAGATCTCTGCAACTCTGTCCTTGCTTGTATTCTATACTGTGCACTCCAGCTGCTTTGGAGTCCTTAGACTCTACTCCACTCCATCTCCTCAACTGAGATTTCCTACCAGGCTGTATCTTTCTTCTGCTTGCACCCTAGTCTATCAGTTCTGTATAGAGCAGTCATAGGATTCACTTTGTCTGACTCTTATCACTCATTAATCGTTGTTCTTCATTACCGATGCTTATTGTTTCATACATTTTATCCAGTTATTTGTTGTTTCAGATGGAAGGATAGATCTGGTTCCTGTTCAGTCTTCCTGGCTGGAAGCAAATTGAAGAGTAGCAGTTTTGTGTTTGTTTGTTTTTTAAAGAGTAGCAGTTTTTAATGAAGCACTGCTAAGCTATTTAAATTACCAGTCAAAAATAAGATAAATAAAATCATATTTTCACTTTGGATTTCTACATTCTTTTATTCTTTGACATATTTCTAGGTCTGTTGGCTAAAGACTCTATTATTCCATAAGTCTTGATTTTTGAGGGAAACATGAAGCAAAACTACATCAGCCTACCCCGTATTTTGCTTTTATTTTGTTTTGGTTTTGTTTTTTGTTGTTTTGAACTTTTTTCTGACAAAGCATTTTTTTACTCAAAAATCATTTG